ATATATGTAACTAACTATATACATGCAGTAGTGATGTTGACATCTTACTGTTTTATATATGTAATGAATCTGGAGTGAACGTCAATTCAATGGCATTATGTTCCGTGGTATTTGACTGGTTAACAGGGTATGTTTTTTTCGTTTATGTATTCATAAACCTAGAGGCCACGTTCACTAGCTGACTACTTGCTAGATCTTCCCGGCATTCTCAGCGTCTACATAGTCAAGCCCATGTTACGCAAAGCCTCCTGTACAAATAAATTCGATGAATGAAAATTTCAACTGACAATGTTTACATCTTTCTTTACGTCACACACATACTTTTTGGATCGTTTAAAATAAAATGTACACATACCATGAGCACAAGGTATTTTTCCCAAATCAAAATATTTGCTCGACTGCGGTATCTGCTACAGCTTGTTAATGGCCGATGCGTGAATCCCGATGACCTAAATGATATTGTGAGTTCCTGATATAGATTGAGGCGTCGAGCACAATGATGACAGAACTTACCCTCGAGCTTTCAAGAGCATCAGAAGACGGACAGGAACCACCAAAACTCCAACCCCTACCCGAGCAAAGATTCAGAAAACTTACTGAAACTGGTATAAAAGATTTAGAGAACTGTCGTCAATCTAAAGCATCCCCCCAAAAAAACCAAAGATGGTGTTAAAATTGTCCACGGTAGGCCCCAACCGTAACGCTTAGTTGATTTTCTTAATTTCCCTGTGGCTAATCTAAAGTGAAAAGTCAACGTGCAAATACAAATGTAGTTTATTATTTAGACCTCGTCTGCTGGAGCCAGCTGTCATTTGTTAACATTCAACGAAACGTTTTGTGGTCCAAGGGAGGTAACTCCAAGTTCAATTTAATCAACTGATCAAAGGCCAAGTTCCAATGCAAGTCCTGTTAGACTTGTGTAAATTGTGTATGGTTTTGTTTATGAACGAAACATGACAAATGAATAGTTTGCACGATAATCGGCAGATACATTGAAATTGTTAGAGACAAACAGTTGAGACCGGCCAATGAACTTCTCGATGGGAAGCTATAATTCAGTGCTGAAATTGGGCTTTCACGATCAACGGAACAAACAGATACAATTCCTCCAGCAGATTTACAACATATTTCCACATACCTTCATCAACCACAAATCTAAAAGCCTTCGTTACCGAGTTTGGTAGGGCCTGTCAATCCACTTCATCATTAGGGGCATAGAATTTCACAAACAACTAAAAATGAATTCACCCCTCTTCAGAATCGACGAGAGTGGTGACAAGTATGTCACACAGACTGACGAGACAAAATAAAAATTGTCACGGTTGTCGTTGAAGTGATCAAGCATCATCCGAAAAGCGGATGTACCTACAAAGAATGGTAATGCTTGCCCCGCGCCTTTTTGTCAGTAAAATACATCATCAAAACACTGTTGAATCACTGTCGAAAGGAGGCCTTTTTCATCGCGTTTTTTTTCTCAAATTCCAGCTTTAACAACTGTGTATTCAACTTTGCAGACAGACAGACAGACAGACAGATTGTTTATTTGAGTCTCACCTCACAGAAATAATTACATAAATACATAAAAAAGGACATAAAAGTGAGCCACCCGTTAAGGGTTACGAGAGGCTTAAAATGTATCACAGTATGTACATCATAAATATATTGGTGTAAAAGGGGTATGAAAATATACTACCCGTAACTAGCCATATAAAATATTTTTTCTTCGTTGGAGAATTAAAAAGCAGGTTTGGCTGTAAAATATACATACTATTTAAAAAGTACAATAAGTTTATCCGTATTGCATAACTCTAGAAAGTTGGGATAGCTAAAACTCACCTTTTCGTATAAACTTTCACGCAAATCATCGTACACAGGGCAATCAAGTAATACATGACATTCATCTTCGATACTTTCCTTACACTGAAAACACACTCTTTCATTCACATTCATATTCGTATATCTGCCTGTTTCCAACTTCAGAGGAGCAGTACCTGATCTAAATTTGGAGAAGGCAGAGCGGTAAGAACGAGGCATATACATACTTACATAACTCTCACATCCATACCCATCTTTAAACATTCTATACGTACGTAATTTGTTACCACCCGTTCTTCCGCCAGGCTTGCATAACCGTTCATTCCAATCAGACACATACTTTCCCATGCATATATCTTGCACACGTACAACTACACTTTTCACGCATCTGGCACCAACGATCAGTAGTACTCAAACACCATGGTGTGACCGTGACCTTATTCTAGTTTACTGTTTTCTGATCGGCTGATAATACTTTACATTGAACTGATTGACAATTTGTTTTGTCGCTTGTGTTGCATTATTGGGCTGAACGATGTCATTCATCCCGAACGGTTGTCTACAGCTTTTGGTGTTAAATAAGCAGTCCGTGAATTTCAAATCGAATGAATATGTCATGCGTCCTGTTTGAATATCAGAATAGTTCTTCCATATGTGATTCTCAATTATGATTTCACTTTGATGATTAAAACTTTAAGTGTTATGGTTCAAACAGTGGATGTACAAACACAGGTCGCAAACATATACTCTATGTGAACATATGAAATGACAGGATGCAAAAAGAACACCTGTCATCTCGGAAATAGCGAAAGATGTCCAAATATTACAAACGCAGCACATGCACCAATTCCATGGCAATATTCAAAACAAGAAACGCAAAACGGATATTTTTGGCCATAAAAGAAATATTAGCGGACCAAGAGGTGCAAAATGATGAGGTTTCACGTGTTATAGTGTCAGTGACCAATTTCCCGGATCAAAATGATCACAACAAGAACATGCAAACCATTGGTCGGGAAACACGTACGATTCGGAAAAACGCACCCAGTGCATTAACAAAAGGGCCATGGAGCTGCACGTACTGCACGTGCAGCAGCACTACGAATGGTATTAAAGTGTAGGGTTTTTGATTGCCTGGCATCTACGTCAATCGAACAGTGACAGTTCAACAACATGCCAAGATTAACAGAAGTGCAAAGAAACAACGTCATAGGCCGCTTGCAGACAGGGAATCACGATCAGCTGTAGCCAGGTTTTTTAATGTAGCGCCCAGCATAATCACAAGGCTATGGGATCGGTTTCAACAGCATAGGTCAACACGTGATCGGCCAAGGTCGGGACGGCCAAAAGTAACCACCCCCGCCCAAGATCGCTACATCCGACTGCGCCACCTACGTGAAAGGACGACCACAGCCTACTCAACTGCATCCCAAATACCCGGACTGCGCAGAATCTCCGACCAGCCCGTACGAAACCGTTTAAGACCATCAGGTCTACGAGCAAGACGTCCTGTTCGACGCGTCATAGTCGAAAACATCGTCAACAACGACTGCATTGGTGTCGTCAACACAGGGTATGGCCTCAACAGCGATGGAGGGATATCTGGTTCAGCGACTAATCAAGATTTCTCCTCCGTCGAGGGGATGGATCACATCACGGATCTAAAGAGCGCTAGCCTGTCTACACAACAACAACGTTGATGTTCTCCCTTGGCCAACCAGATCCCCGGATTTGAACCCGATAGAGCACCTGTGGGATGAATTGGACGTCAACCAAAACCCTAGACGTAGCAGCAGTTGGCTTTTGCGTTGCAGGCCGAGTGGGCTACCATTCCCCAGGATGTGTTTCGCATACTCGTCTCTTCCATGGGCAGGAGATGTCAGGCCGGGGGACATACGCGTTATTGATGGTATCTGACCTTCACCTTGGACTTTTCCTATGTACCGATAACTGAGATGACTACAATCACTAAGTGTTCTCTCCACAACATTTTGGCTAAATACATTGTACGGTTCCTCCTATAAATGTCTTTTCCTACCTCACACAAATCTGGCTTTGTGTTTCGTTTTTTGAAGAGTATATTACTGAGTAACGAAGTTACGGAGAAAACGCACAAAGCTGGAGGAAGAAAAACATATTACAAACAAAATTGACAACAAAAAGTTTTGGAATTATGGTCGTATTAGAAGTACTCAGAATCCCTAGAAATGGGTCAATTACTAGTTTCTAGTATGCAGTCACAGAGGTCATACCCTGCGGATCTAAAAAAATGCATTCAGAACTTTGGGAAACGTTCTGCGCACACTTCGGCCAACATAGATGTATGCGCGTGTCCCTTTTTAAGTCTTTGTCCGATTTTCCCCATGTCCTATATTTGTCTGTAGCGAAATTACTGCCCATTGTCGGCTCTTTCCGCACCTACCATACTGTCGGGGCTTTCGACATTGGTCTTGGAGTATAAGGGGTTACTGAATGACACTTAAAAATCACCGAACGATTTGATTTTTTCATAACTTCAAATGGCTATAAAGTCATTAGTTTGATGGTTTCGATTTATGTTAATTAGTGATACTGTCGAATGCACATTTCCAAGAGCTTTCCATATATCTATAACACATGGTATGGTTTCCAAAGGTGGTCACGTCACCATCCCCTAGTGCATTATGGTCGGAAATTACGTTTGAACCCGTTTTTGACGTGTAGTGTCGCCATTTCGCAAAATCGCTATTTCGCCGTGTCGCGTGAACATATCGCATTATCGTCATTTCGCTTTATCGCCATATCGCAGTATCGCTATATCGCCATGCCGTTATATCGCGCTTGACCACCATGGCGCGTGTGGCATGACCATATTGGTTATTGTGACCATTGTGTTATTGCAATGTCGTTGCGTGTTATCGCTTTTTCGTTTATGCCTGTATCACAATATCGCTATACCATGTCGCAATATGGTCATGTCGTGTCGTACTATCACTCTATACCCATGTCGCCTGAATAGGGTGATACGGCAATGAATCTAATCAACCACCATACCATTCAATATTTGGACAAACCAGCTCCGCACTGTATTCAGCACATTGATACGAACACATAGACATAAAGGCTTACAAAGCGGCATTTATTACTTTCCTACTTCTGCGATAACACATAGGCCACGTTTTCCTCACAAGTAATGTATTTAAAATTTGGGCATTTGAACATAACTCACAACAGACAGTTTTGGACGACAGACATTGTCTAAGGTGAGGCACTTACCATTCATTCTTAATACATACTACACGTGTATCGTGAATAATTTACCAACGTTGTACTAAATATTTGATTTGAAATAGTGAGTGATTATGGTTTTAAGCTGCTTTTAGCTATATCCCAGCAATATCACGGCGGGGGACACCGGAAAATGGGCTTCACACATTGTACCCATGTGGGCGTGTCGAGTCAACGCTTTAACCACTATGAGCATGCTCAGACATAACAAATGAAGATATCCTAATGTAAACGAGGTGGGCGGATGGGTGGGGGGGGTTGGGGTTGGGGTTGGGGTTGGGGGGGGGGGGGGGGTGTTGTTGCAACAAATAGTTTTGGAATTATTGTCGTATTGGAAGACTCAGAATCCCTAGAAATGGGTCAATTACTAGTTTCTAGTATGCAGTCACAGAGGTCATACCCTGCGGATCTAAAAAAATGCATTCAGAACTTTGGGAAACGTTCTGCGCACACTTCGGCCAGCTTAGATGTATGCGCGTGTCCCTTTTTAAGTCTTTGTCCGATTTTCCCCATGTCCTATATTTGTCTGTAGCGAAATTACTGCCCATTGTCGGCTCTTTCCGCACCTACCATACTGTCGGGGTTTTCGACATTGGTCTTGGAGTATAAGGGGTTACTGAATGACACTTAAAAATCACCGAACGATTTGATTTTTTCATAACTTCAAATGGCTATAAAGTCATTAGTTTGATGGTTTCGATTTATGTTAATTAGTGATACTGTCGAATGCACATTTCCAAGAGCTTTCCATATATCTATAACACATGGTATGGTTTCCAAAGGTGGTCACGTCACCATCCCCTAGTGCATTATGGTCGGAAATTACGTATGAACCCGTGACGTGTTCACATTTCGCAATACCGCCATATCGCAATAATATACCAACGTTGTACTAATTATTTGATTTGAAATAGTGTGTGAGTGAGTGAGTATGGTTTTACGCCGCTTTTAGCAATATTCCAGCAATATCATGGAGGTGATTTGAAATAAGTCATAAATGTAAACTATTGTAAAATCATAGGTCTAGATGGATGTAAATAAAATCTCGTTTATAACAGCCTGTTTTTTCTGTTTAACTTGAACAAATTGGACCGAATCCAAATTCATGCATACAAAATAAAATAAGATATATACTGATAGCACTCGTATTTTCACTTGGAAAACGGAAATATTTGTAAAATGAAGTTGAATGTAAATTACCAAATTGTATGAGGTTATGATACCAACTGAATCATATTTGGTCATCCAATCCACACTGATTAAATCTCTTATTATAATCACGAGGACGAGAACCGGCGATAATCACCCAGGCGTGTCTTTTTCTGTTTGCTTTAAATATTAACATGTCTACTCTATGAGCACGCAATCATGACATCATGATGTCAGTTTTTTCAACGTACAACGTTTTGAAAAACATGCTTATAAAACAGTATCTGACGGTGATTTGGCTCATTGCATGTCATCGTACATAACCAAAGATAACTCCGTCAGCAAGGTGACAAGGTAACGATGTCTTCTGTGGGATGAGGAACGTGTCTACGTCCTACTTCAGAAGCATTATACATCTCATTGCTTTTTGATTTTGGTTTGGTGTGTTGTTTTACGCCGCACTCAGCAATAGTCCAGCTATATGACGGCGGTCTGTAAATAATCGAGTCTGAACCAGACAATCCAGTGATTGACATCATGAACATCAATCCACACAATTGGGAATCGATGACATGCATCAACCAAGTCAGCGAGCCTGACCACCCGAACCGTTAGTCGCCTTTGAAGACAATCATAGTCGCCTTTTACGGCAAGCATGTGTTGCTGAAGACCTAATCTACCCCGGATCTTCACGGGTAACATCTCGTTGCATTCTACACAGGGTTTTACCTGTTGCCTTATGTGCTTGTCGGTGTAATTAATTTTGTTTATTACGAGGGCTGGTCAAAATGTTCTAAGCCTAATAAACAAAACCAACAACTGTGAAAGTGTTTTTAATTTTATTTTTCAACATAATCTCCCTGCTTTTCAATACACTTCTGATATCGATAGTGAAGCTTTTCAGTTCCAGTCAGGTGGACGTTTTCTGAATCCACCCTGAAAAACCCATCCACGGCAGTTTTGAGGTCGTCATTGACGTCATAGCGCTTTTCACGAAGGCGTTCTTTCAGTTTAGGAAACAGGTGGAAAGCACTTGGTGCCAGGTCTCGCGAGTGTGGAGGGTAAGGAAGCTCTTCGAAACCACATTGTAGCACAGCAGGCTTCGCAAGTCGAGAGGTGTGAGAAAACTCATTGCCATGAAGTTGTAGAACTCCAGCAGTCAGCATTCCTCTCTGATTTTCTTTGATAGATTCTCTCAGGAGATGACTTTCTTCACAAATCTTGAAGACTTGAGAATTTCTTTGGTGCCGGAGAAGTGGAATAGTGGCACTCCATGGATTATGGTTTTGACTCGGTATCATAGTGGTAGACCCATGCTTCATCACCCGTTACTAATCGCTTTTTGAAATTGGCACCCAATGAGCAGCTATCTTATTTATTTGTAAATGTTCATGAATAACAGTTCCAATTGATCCAGGGCTTAGATCTGTCTCTTCCTCAAGTTCAGCAATGCTCATACGTGTATCGGAAAGTAAAGGTTTTTCTGTCTCCTTGATTGAATCTTCAGTGATGGAAGTTGACTGGCGTCCAGACGTAGGGTCATTTTCAAGGCTTGTTCACCCAGCCTTAAACATAGCTGCCCAACGTTTAATAGTGGAATAGACCCGTGAAGATCAGGGGTAGAATAGGTCTTCAGAAACCCATGCTTGCCGTAAAAGGTGACTATGCTTGTCGTAAAAGGCGACTAACGGGATCGGGTGGTCAGGCTCGCTGACTTGGTTGATGCATGTCATTGATCCCAATTGCGTGGATCGATGCTTATGATATTAATCACTGGATTGTCTGGTCCAGACTCGATTATTTACAGACCGCCGTCATATAGCTGTAATATTGCTGAGTGCGGCGTTAAACAACAAACCAACCAACAACCAACCAATTAATAGTTGAATAGCTAGGGCACTTATTTCCATACACTTGTGACATGCGGTCATGAACTTCTTGAGGAGTACTTTTTTCAAAAGTCAAAAACTTGATGACTGCTCGGTACACTTTTCTATTTCTGTGTCCATTTGGACCCCGATCAAGTTCAACTGGCTGTCACTAATATATACTCAACAACAAAAGTTCCTGTGACACCAATAGTATAGTGTATTTTTCAAACAAGTAAAATTTGGTTTTCAATATTGTAGTACATGTATGGAATCAAGTCACAAAAACGCTCTGCTACAGAAGAGCATGCTACAGAAAAGTTGACTTTTATGCAAGTCCCATGCATTTCACTACCAAAGAATGGGTATAAAAACATGTGCGTTAACGGGATTCCATATGCATTGTTTAGCATCGTGCTGACAACAACCACTCAGAAAAACAACAAAATTACGCAATTATTCCACATTACGAAATGCCACGCCTGTCCGAAAATGAGCGTCTGCGAGCCAGTGGTATGCTTGAAGCAGGATCGAGTCAACGTGATGTTGCAAGACAATTTAACGTCCACAGAAACACCATTTCGTGTTTATGGCAACGTTGGCAACGGACGAATGCAGTCAGAGACCATCCTCGGAGTGGCAGGCCACGCGTAACCAATAATCGACAAGACAACTGGATTCGAACAACACACCTACGAAATCGATTCAAGGCAGCAACAGTGACTGCAAAGAAAATTCCCTGGCCTTCGACGAATATCTTCACAAACCTTACGTCGCCGCCTCAGATGTGCAGGGATTGTCGCCAGAAGACCCGCGAGACTTATACTTTTTTTACAGGAAACCACCGTCAAGCACGTCTACAGTGGTGCAGACAGCGTCTACGCTGGACGGTCATGAAGTGGGGACAAGTTCTATTCACTGAAGAGTCTCGTTTTCACCCAGCCACAGCGATGGACGGATTCGAGTGTACCGACGTCGAGGTGAACGTTAGGTCAATCATTGTGTCATGGAAGAAGATCGGTTCGGGAGCGGCATGGTATGGGGTGGGATTACAGCAAGACAGAGGACCCGTTTGATAGTGGTAGAGAAAATCTCAATGGACAGCGCTACCGCGACGAGATCATCAGCCCTATTGTTCTACCGTTTTTGCGTCGTCATGGCCCTGCCAATACCTTTCAACATGACAACGCCCCGCCTCATATTGCTCGAATTGTTCAGGATTCTCTTCAACAAAACAACGTAAATGTCATCCCCTGACCGGCTCGCTCCCCTGATCTCTCACCAATCGAGCACATGTGGGATGAGATGGATCGGCGCCTTTGACGTCAACCACGTGTTCCACAGACACTCCTGAAACTTCGAAACATGCTCAAGCAGAAATGGACAGATATCCCACAGGATTTTGTGCGACGCCTGGTCCATTCCATGGGACGAAGATGTGTTGCTTGCATCGCAATCAGAGGTGGACACACACGCGCTATTGATTTGTAAATTGACATTTTGGCATGTTCATGGGTCTTTTTTATGAAATCACGCATATTCTGAAGTCAGTATGGCAAATTAAACCATTTGAACACTTACAGGAGTGTTTTATCTGTTGCAAACCGAAATTGTTTCAGATTTGGTAAAAAACATAACTTTGCATTAAATCTTATTCAATGTCACAGGAACTGTTGTTGTTCAGTATACAATATATTGAAATAAACTACTCAAATAATGTACGACTTTGACTAATTTACTTTCTTATGACCCATAGTTAGTCAGGCTAAGAACTGTTTGACCAGCTCTCGTATGACGACAGGGAAACAACCTGCTCACGCTGGGTATATGTGTTCGTGTGCTGGGCAACTTTTGTTTCAGGCATGTATGTTCGTATCTTTGTAAATCCAAGGTAATCACCATGTTGTTATAAGTATAGCGCCACACATACAACAGCAGCTCCAGTGTTTATGGAACCT